AGATAGATAGATAGATAGATAGATAGATAGATTGATGGATAGATGGATGGATAGATAGATAGATAGATAGGTAGATAGATACATAGATAGATAGGTAGATAGATAGATAGATAAATAGATAGATAGATAGATAGATGGATAGCTAGATGGATAGATAGATAGATAGATAGATACATAGATAGATTATTTAGATAGATAGAAAGATAGAAAGATAGATAACTAGACAGATAGACAGATAGATAGACAGATAGACAGATGGAAAGATGGAAAGATAGTGAAAGACAGTGAAAGATAGATAGATAATAGATATAGACAAGTTATAGATAGAAAGATGGAAAAATGGAAAAATGGAAAGATAGAGAGAGAGAGAGAGACTCAGAGCCTCAACCACCTGTCGCTCCGTGAGCGGGTTCGCTCTGGCATCCACGCATGACGACAACTGACCTCTCCTATAGTTTCCTATGATTGAAACTTCCGCCACCGCCTTGTGCCGTAGGTTATAAGGAATGCTTAAAATATTTTGGAATTACGTGTCCTCAATATGTATACCTTCTACCCTGCCACTTGGTTGCGGCCGAAGCAGCTGTCCAACAAGTGGGTGCCACACCTGAGGCTGTAAAAGTCTAGAACTGGATAAAGGACTCACACCTATCAGACCTGTCACCTCTCTGAAGTGCACGAGGCAGTCCAAGCATTCAAGTTATATACCTGCATTGCAAGACTGGATCCCCAAGAGAAAAAGAAGCCATTGCATGTGTTTCATTCATAGTTCGTGTTTAAAAAAACAAGACGTGCAGTGGAGAGCGTGGTCCAATTATTTCCAGGCTCGTCTTAAGACTTTAGACTGCCTGCCAGTGCCCGCCGTGTTTCGGGTGCCTCAAGAGTTGCTGCCACGTTCTCGTGCCGCAGGCTGCCTGGTGAATGATGTCGCATGATGCGGAAGATTGCACAAGAAGCTTCTGATGGGTGCAGCATTGTGCAACACGTTCAGCCGCTCACAGGTGAGCAGCACGAACTATGACAGAGACGCCCATTTTATACTTGATGTTCCTTTCATATCCTTTGTCGTTGTTATACTTTATTTTGTCGCTAGATTTATTTTTTGGTCAGGAGTAAAGCCCTGCAGCTATCACGGCTGCTCCCAGGATGTTCCCCTACCGGCCCTACCGCCTCCTCTGCCAGTCGTGCAACCTTTAAGCACATCTCTGCCCCATCCAGGGCATGCCTCAGAGCTTGCCATGGCAGGGCCAACTGTTCGAAAAAAATGAAAAAGCTCACTGCCAAAGCCAAGTTCTCCAGCAGTTTCCAACGAATGAACATATATGAATTATATGAACATGAATGAACACATTTCATCATAGTTCATAATATTTCATCATATTTCATCATGTTTCATCATATTTCTCCATCCACTCTCTAGCTACATCCAGCTACTAAGCTCTTAGCTCAGCCTGACGCGAGCAACTCTCCACTGGAATCGCACGAACCACAGCCTCCAAAGGAACGAAATGTCTTGCTCATTGCGGCTGCGACGGCTTGTTGCATGGCGCAGAGATGTGCAGAGTCAGTCTTTGCCGATCGGAACAGAGTCCAAAGATGTCCAAAGGTTATCCAGCAAGGTGCCGCCTCAGGATCTAGAGGCGGACCTTCCTTGGTGCAAAGGATCTGTTTCGAGGCCGAAGAGTTTCTCCAAACCTCCTCTGTGTGTCCCTAATGTCTGTGTATGTCCAAATGCCTTCGCAAAAGTCGCGGAAATCAGTCATTACCCTTCCCTCCATTCGAGACACATGGTTTTTGTGCCCTCTTTTGGCAACGCATGCAGAGTCTCTCCCTCTCTGTATCCACATGGGACAAATGTCTGCCGCAGTGACTCTGACCATGACTATGCATGAAGTGTATGCAGTGTATGTGTGTTTCCTGTTTGTGCTGTTTGCTCTGGAACAGCCCCAGTTCAAAAACTCTCCCCGTGGCCCACTCATCTGCCATGCTGCTGTTCCGCAGTCACTGATATCTTCATCAAGGCTGTCAACATCGGACAGCGAACTGTCTGATGACGAAGCCACCTGCAGGATCAAAAACGATTCTTCGGTGAAGCTGTACAGCTCACCTGTAGGGAAACCCTACCGCATGGAATGTCAAGTCAAGAAACCTTGTTCTGCATGTCCCGAATTTAGAGTTCATATGATACATATGTACCTGTTCTATCCTATTCTGCTTTTACCCACCTGCCAGGTTAGGGTCTGTAGATTTTATGTCAGCCTGCTCCTCCTCTTTCACCTCCTCTTTCTCCTCCTCTTTCTCCTCCTCTGCTCCTCTTCGCCTCTGCGCCTCCTCTGCGCCCCTCCGCGCAGCAAGCTCGCAGTCTGTCTGCTGGGCCCGAACACTTTGCCAAATGTCAGATATTGTCAGATGAAATGTATATATGTCAGATAGGATGCCATATAAAATGTCAGAGTCAGAACGTACGGAATATATCTATATACACTATTCTATACGTATGTCAAATAGAATGCTAAATAAATTGTGGGAAAGAGTTTCAGAATATGTGTCAGTTGGTGGGGGTAATATTCTGTATGTACTAGTATATGTATGTATATGTATGTATATGTATGTATATGTATGTATATATGTATATATATATATATATATGCTTTGAACCTCATCTCCAAGGATTGGTGCCTTTATACTTCAAGGATTGGCTGCAACGGTGCTGAACTGGAGATCTGCTGGTCGAAAGAGTGCGGCATCCAAACCATGCCTCGCTCACTAGATCGTTACTCCTCTCAACCTGGTTCGGGCACAAGAAGGGAATGTCGGAATGACTCAGAGTGACTCGGAATGACTAAACAATTTAAACAATATCTAAAAGAATCTATAAAAGAATCTAAAAGACAAACACACAATTGGGGATCAATAAATTAATGGCAAACTTAAGACTGTTTTCAAGTACAATCATTCTCTGTGAGCCGCTTGCTGTTTGCAGCAGGGGAAGTGCATCTACAACACTTTCCAACTCTTGTGTCTTGTGCTGAATACCTGACACTGACAGCTATGAAATGGGCTTCAAAATCATCAAAACGGAAAGCCCACCTCCCTCGGAGTTGATGTCTGAGCTTCCTCGGGCACCTGTAGTCACTGTAGTCATCCATGGTCACTCGACATTGTGACATTTGCGCTTCTTGCTACAACCATGGAATGATATATTGGCTCTGGTGGTTGGTTCACTCCTTTCCATGTTATACTAATAGTACTTGCTGACCCGCTTGCACGTTCATTCAGTAGGAAACAATCCGCAACCCTTCTCTCTTGCTGGTGCTTCAGATCTGGGTAGTAATTGAGAGTGATTGGCAGTGATGGGTAGTTTGAATATGAAGACATCAATCTTTGCCCCCCGGCAGTCGTCTCCGGCTCAGGTTCGCTGGGTCCTGCAATCTTTGAAAAGCGATCTTGTGAAACTTTCGAAGAGGACAATGGGTGATCCACATGGCAAGTCGATGATGGGTGATCAGTGATCTCTGTCACTAATGCCACTAATGATTCAAAATCCAGTGTATTCATGGACGATCAATCGGAATCAATCGATGACTGGCACACCTGTGGACCCTCTGCTGCTCCTGCTGCTCCTGGCGACGCTGGAGCTTCCTCTTGATCCTCTTGCGCCGGCTCTGGTGACTCTGGTGGCTGGGCCTGCGAGGGCATCCGGCTGTCACATGATGACACAATGATGACACACACACACATATATATATATATACATATACGTATACATATACATATACATATATATATATATATATATACGTATAGTTATATATATAATATGATATACAAAACATATACAAAACATGTACAACATACATTTTTTCACATGTGTTCACAATCATTGCCATAAAAATGCACTTAGGACTAGGTATTATATACGTATATATAAATTTATAAATTGTATATTACATACGTCTGTGTGGACATGTGTAGGCTGTAGGCTAGTATGGCTTCAGGTATATAGTGTATCTACTTGTGTTTCCTGTATTGTGATGCGATCTTATCACCTATGCTGCCTGGTCCTACCTGCATCATCATTGGGATTTAGCACCTCTTTAACCTTCTATATCTTCCTATGCTGGAAGAATGTGTGTACCACTGTGCATCCACTCAGGCCATGTGGATCACGCAAATTATCGGCTTGATGCAAAATGCTGCGCTGCTGCGCCTTTTGTCGCAAAGTTGGTCCGCGACCCTGCGGAGCTAAAAGCGTAATTACTGGAAACTCATGCCATATGTACGCTTTGCCTTCTGCAACATATGTGCAACACCCAAACAGGTGCGCCCGAGGCCAGAAGTGGGAAAAGCCTTGCACTGGTTTTGACCAGTTGCGGCTTTGCTGCAGGCTTTGCATGTTTTGACCAGTGAGAGTCTCTTTCACTCTCTTAACATCACAGTGCCTTTGGCATGCGATGGTGCCAAAATATGCCAAAATGGTGTCATCATTCAACCCTTTCGCTTTGCTGCCCACTATTCGCTTCAAATTGCCCTGGTTGAAAGATGGCGAACCCTTCCCGCAAAACTTGGAACACTGCAGAAGTGGGAGGCCATAAATGGGCATATATGGGCATGCTATTTCTATAGCAAACAAAGATGCTTTCTTTTTCAGTGTATCCTGTCTCTACTGCTTGTCTCTGCTGCTGTCAGTCTTTGTCTGGAAAAAGTTGCTACAGAGAACAACTCGCATCAACTCGCGCTTGGTTCTGCTATCTTCTGCCCAATCTCTCCCCGTGGTTTCCGACCCATGCAGCCTAAATCAGCCAGTCTAACGAGTCTAACTGGCAGGTTTAGCGGCGATCGCGCTGAAACATCTGAAACTGAAAGTCATTTTCTTGAAGCTCTTCGCCCGTTGAGATCTGTTGAGCCCATGGAACAGTCAGAAAATCAACAACGATCTTGCTGCAAAGTCTTCTACTGTAGCAGCATTCATAACATTCATAGAGATCACAAAGGATTCAGGCATATCACAGGACATCATTCAACAGCTTGGGCTTTCAAGAAGTCTCCGCTTGTGCTCACTGCGGACTGGTCTGGCGGCTCATGCCTTTGTTAGGACGGGATGAAGCAAGCAACCTCAGACCAACGTATGCATTCGAAGACAGCATCAACATATTCAGTTTCTACTTTTGAAGCCCAACATCGCCATGCCGACATATTTCCACAAAATGACAATATGTCAATATAATGTCAATATACTTAAGATATTCAACAGTTCAACACTTAAAAGATTCGACCCGACCAGGTTTTGGCAATTCTGCAAGGTGGGCCATCTGACAGGTTGCGATTCTTCTTCCAAAGCAGGCTGCACAACTCGTACAGCCACCCTCCAGACGTGCAGCAAATGGCGTATACCAGTTGCGTTGGTTGCGTCCTTTATGTTCTCCAGGCTTACCAACACACCAACCCGTGCACCCACGTACTACCGCAAGAAAAGGCACGCGAGCGGCGATATGACATATTCAGATTGCATTGGATGGGTACTTGTAAGATCTTGTAAGAGCATAGGGCGTCATAGGGAGACAACGATACTCGATCGTCCATCAGGGATGATACTCCTCGATGTAATCAAACATGGCAACTGAAAATCCCCTCTAAAGGGAGTCTTAAACACCCAAGCAACAGAAAAATGGTGCCGCTGATACCCAACGTCTGTGGGCAAGGGCTGAGGAAAAACCCAATCCTGAAACTGCTGGCCAACCCAATGCCGGAACATCGGAGCAGCAGGTGGCGTCAAAGTTGCTCAAATTTATGATCCCCCTGGGAGATTGGCTGCGATGAGGCTACAGGTCCGTAGGAAAACGTGGCCCAGAGAGCATGTCGGAGAGCGCAGCCTCGGTCTTCCAGTGGATGGGTCCGCCCGTGATGGAATGGGCTTTGATAGCGACCGGCTGGCACGTCAGAGCTCCACCTGTTCACTCCAAGGGCGGCCAGGCATATCTGGCGGACCCAGGGTCGCGGGGCGGGCATCAGGCCCGCCCGCACGCCGCAGGACAGCTCGCGCGTTCTCGCGCTGAAGGCTGAGCAGCTTTTCGAGCTCGACTGTAGGCTGTTCGCCAGAGCGGGCTGCGACGCAATGCGCAAGCTGCCGCCAGGTTTGCATGGCCACAGGGGCCCAGCCTCCGCTGGCAGCCTCTGCGACCAAGGGGATGAATTGTAGCCCTTCATCAGCACAAGTGGCCGCTGTCTGCAAATGGGCCCGCTTGCGGGCTTCATAGTCTTCTGCAGCGCGGGCCCCTGTTATCCCCTGTTGCTGCTGAGGCAGCCCAGCCCCAGCCCCTTGTCGCAGGCCGGATGTCACCGCCAAGTCAAAAGCTGCCGGGCCATGAGCCCCCCAGCTTCCGACCCACACGTCGGCTGGTCGCCTCCCGCCTCCAACTTGCACACCATCTTCAGGAGCACCCCCAGAATCCAATCGTGGAGGGAGCAGACCCGCCTTCTTAACGACAGGGTTCAATCCTCCTGCTTGAGCACGGGCAGCTAGAACGGAGCGCAGGCGATGATGCCTTTTGGTGCGATCTCCGCCGCAAGGGCAAGCCCTGGCGTGGTCGCCCATGCGGTCGGCGATCCCGTCGCAGAGTGGACAAGCCACATCTTCTGATGCAACGGGCAGCCGCAAGCGAAGGCAGACCATAAGTCGGAAGAGTGCAGGAGCCACATGCAGCCCGAGGTTTTCAGCAGGCGGAGCGCGCAACCAGGCACCAGCACCAGGCTGCTGCAACATTTGCGCGGTAGGCCCCTGCCCAGGCCCTGGCTTGTTCAATTCTTCAATGGTGGCAGCATCGAGGGCGCGGGATAACTTTTGCTGGCTCAAAGTGCTGGGCGCTGGCGACGGGATGCGGTCACCTGGCAAAACTTCTTGTTGAAGGCACCCACAACCTCAGTGACAGACAGGGTGTAGTGCGGGTCCAATCCCTTGCAGAGCTCTTCAGTAGCAGCGGTGGACGCTACAAACCCGGCCATTGCGTGGCGGCTGGCATGACGAAGACCAAGGCCCCCGGCATTGGTGGAGAGCGAAGCCTGTGCCCACGCCTGGCTGGGCAGCGGGCCCGTGCAAAGGGTTTCAAGACAGGCCCGCACCTCTGCATCGAAGGCTGACAAAGCGGCGATGTGAAGGGCTGGGGGCGTGACCCTAGCAGAGTACGCAACCTTGCAGAAGCTTGCGCATTCCCTCAGCAGCAGCAACCCAGTTTGGGGGTCATCCAACGCTCCTAAAGCTTCCAGGAGCGGCTTGCTCGCATCAACCCGGTGAAGTTGGGTGTGGGCCGTGCAAAAAGTGCTGTTCCCGATGGCAGCGCCCAGCAAAGTAAAAGCTCCCGAACGGTCCACTGTAAGCCCCTCAGGGGAACTCTGTGGATCCACTAGGCCATCGTGGGATGTGGTTGTGAGCTTGCACTTGGCTGGATTGAGCGCTAAACCAACTTGGCGGGCCCCCGCAGTGAGGCGGCCCAGGGCCGTGCG